CCGACGGCTACGAGTCAGCGAAGAAGAGTCATCACTCAGACAGGCAGAAAAACTAGGAAGCATTTCGATAAGAGAGTGCAGAGAAGGACGCAATCGATGCCTTTGAAGGGATTAAGTTTTAGCTGTCCGTAGACCGTACTTGTTGGCAAAGACTTAAACACCAAACCAATCCAAAAAAGAAAAACAAACCAATTCATTTTATGGGGTGTCCTCAGTACAACACGTGGTCCATGGAATAATTTAGTACACACTAGTTTAGCAAAGATTTCCTGTGGAAAGAGCACTATAAGCTTGAATTGGTTTGCTTTTCATTTTTGGATTGGTTTGCTGTTTAGTCTTTGCCAACAAGTACGGTCTACGGACACCTAAAACTTAATCCCTTTAAACGCATCGATTGCGTCCTTCTCTGCACTCTCTTATCGAAGTGGCTCCCTAGTTTCTCTGCCTGTCTGAGTGATGACTCTTCTTCGCTGACTCGTCGCCGTCGGCCACTACGCCTGCGCTCTCACTACACGCCGAGTTCTGACTATGCATTCACGTGAATGGTTGTGGTGGCTGGGAACCATACTCATTCTCAAACCTTCTACAAAGGAGGGTGCACAGAGAGAAAGGAAAATGGCGCGATAGGATGGACTTGGGTTCAAGTAGCCTCAGATTGTTTCGCAATGTCATAGCAGCATTCTGACATGGCTTTTGCTCCAGTAGCAGCTATTTTCGTGCCATCACAGCAACGAGGAAGGGATGTCGCCCTCTATATTCTTCCAGAAGCTCACGAATTATGCTATGAATTCCACTACAAAACACAGCTTTCTGACCAGGTAACCGATGTCTATATTTGCTGCGAATGCACGGCATTGAAGAGGAGTAATAGAGAAGCATACCCACAGCCCTGTGCTTCCTGCAAACTCAGAAGTGGGATGTTTATCACTGATCCTGCATATCCTGTGCGACCACACTTCTGCGCCCCGCGCACTACACCTCGTTCTATGGCGAGGCGCATGATAATCCAGAGACGCAATGAGATTAGGCTCACTTCAGCGTCGCCCAGCCTCTCTTGAGATGAACGTAATGCTTTCAAGACTGGATAGTGAAACATTCGGTGAGATAACGAGTTTTATCATATTAATTATGCGGATCTACTTTTGTCTACACTCCGTTAAACAAATTCTTCTCCCATTTAACATCCTGTCAGATCGTATTACAAGCTTGGTGTTCAGATGGTTTTACGCTCGAAGAACGGAGACAAATGGTTGGGCGGTTCTTTCCCCTCCGCAGTTGGCGGCGACAATTTCAGAAGAATTATTCACCGTGCCCAGATACGTTCTAGGAACACAAACGGTCAAATGCCTGGCCATATTGTGAGCATTCATTTACCGTTATCTGCGGCCATAATAACTAAAATGATTCCAGATCCCTCATTGTGCTCCTATGCTGACAGAGAGAATTTCTTGTTGCTTGACGATGGCAACATGATAATCCTAGGAAGCCGGGCCCTTTGGACTGCTATGTTTTCTGAAATGACAATCAAGAGTATCTTTGTAAGTAGAGCACTATAATAAGCTATTTAGCATTTTTGATTGGTGGTGTTAAGGGCGATGGCAGGTACAAGCAAATCCCAGCAGTGGTCAGGCGTGGACCTTCATCGCAGCTGTATACTTTGATTGGAGAATTCGAAGATTCCTTTGCTGTACCGCTCCTATTCGCCTTTATCCGGACGGCACAGAGTCGACGCACAGAATGCTGTATTCATGGTTCTTGGAACGAAATTGGACCGCTTGGAGGTCATCAAGCATTGACTCAGCCAGGTTGCAGACTCATATTAGACTATGAGAAACCTGCCATGGATGCCGTGCTAGCGGAAATGCTGGAGTGCGTTTGAAAGAGGTATGTCCATCTGCTCTGGTGAGGCGATTACTACATAATGAACATATTTTTCAGGTGTTTCTTTCACTACACGCAATGTATCCTCCGGCACCGTGATGAACTGAATTTGCGATCAGCGGCGAACAAAAATGCAGCCATTCGGGTGTTCTTCCGCAGAATTCAGATGTTACCGCTCCTTCCGTTGCAATTTATTGGAACTTCAAATGCTCTTACTGCACCGAGTCCACCCGTGGTAACTCCCTTAGAGCACCTTGCCATGAGAGCATTCCTCAGATATTGGCAGGACACTTGGGGATTGGGTGGTCGATTCCACCATAGTCTATGGAACCACTCCTCAACCGTTGGTTCCAGAACCACAAATCACGCTGAGGGCTTCCACACAGAATTTGCACTGCCTCTCCCAGAGGGACGCTCACACTAGCCCAAATGTTAGGGTTTATCAGGGGCCAGCTAACCACAGCTAAGTCTTACAGTCTTGCCCCAGTCAGAGACCTGGATGCAGTGCCATACATAAGGCCGGACGAGCTTCGACGGCAGCAGGTGATCACTGAGGAAATGGAACGGTTCAGAAGGCAGCACGTAGTAAATAATATTGCTCCCACTACGAGACAATGTAAAGAATACTTGGACTTTATGGCCCAACGGCTAGCTCATTAATCTCTTCAACAATTTTCATTTCTATGCATGTCTCTACTTCCGCCGGGTTTGAGCACGATTTCTCAACAAATATGAAGAAGAAGTTTTAATTATCATTTCGAGAATAAATCCTTCGAAGAAACTCGTGAAGAAGTCCTTATTCGCGCAAATTCCTGTAGGCGAAGGGCAGCCTCACTCTTCGTCATACATCATTCACGTGCTAGCGCACAGCGAGCGTAGCATAATCGAAGGCACTCCCCTCTCTGCATTCTAGCCGGTCGACTAGGGACGCAGCGGAGATTGATCCGGCTTACCGTGTCTCCGCTGGAGCCCTCGTTTCTCGGCGCTCTAGCTTTTCGCGAAAGGACCTCCATTAGAAGTTTTAGTCGTCACCCAACCAAGACAACTGGAGGACGATACGACAGTGAGAGTGGTGGTGAGTACTCACGATGTGATGGTCCACCCCCGACCGTCCTCCACTCCCGTCCAAGTTCCCTTCCCCTTTTCCCTTTGATGTTAATATAATATATATGTACCAGTCTGGCTGACGCGCACTACTGCGCGCATGGTTAAACCCATGGTACTACGATAACTGACAGGATTTGTCCTGAGCACTAACACAGCCTAATTCCCATGTTTCGAGGACGACCCATTTCATCATGTTTCTCCATTTTAATGAACATTTGCCAGTGTTTGGTGCCTATCATATTTCTAAAAGCACCATTCGTTGGAGATAGGACAGCATAGCGGTGGGAAGAATTTCGATGATGAAAAGTCGAAATCATAGTGGCTCTTATCATTCCTCACTGGCCAACAATTCCCTTTCCGGTGAAACTCGAGCGTTTAGCGGTGGAAGCATTCCGACCGCTAAACTGAGGATCATCGCTAGGAATAGAAATTTGAATTACCTTGCTGGAGCAGTATCCCACAGTGGTGCAAAAACTGCTGGCCTGTGAATTTTCGGGGTATTATATCAAGCTCTTAGCATAGCTGCCTACATATCAATAATAGTCCCATCCTACGTCCCGTTGTGCTGGTCGACGTTGTGAGTTAGGTGTCCCTATCCTTCTAAGGCTCCTTATGGTATCTTATCAGCTGTTATCAATTCCTGCCACCCACCAATAATGTTCCCATCCTGCCCCCTATCTTACTTCCTGGAACCAAGGTCTCATCGTTGCTGTGGCCCGCGCTATGAATTTGGTGATCCTCCCCTTATAAGGCTGCTCGCGGTATCTTATCAGCTCTTATCAGTTCCTGCCACCTACCAATAGTGTTCCTGCACGACCCCCTACATGACTTATCAGTTTGAGCGCTCTATCACTCTTTTGAAGGAAGTTATGAATTTCCGGTCAAACACACACACACACACCAACAGACAAACTTAGCCGATTATATATAGTAGGATAGCCTAAAATGTTCTGTAATACGGAAACACCGCTACACACCTTCAGGTTACAGACGTCGCGAACCTGTAATCTGATAACTTAAAATTTTTTATCCTAATCTTGGTACTCGGCTGGATACTTCGAAACACATCTGGTAGATTTTGAAACACCTCTTCAGTACCGCTTCCCCTCTGGACTGGTGGAGAACTGTAACTGTGTGGAGAGTACTTTGTCGTTCGCTGTGCTCATTGCGAGAATTCGTATTATTTCTATCATTTTGTGGAAGGATACCACATGTGCTCTTGAACCGTAAGATCCTCATTTCTTGATGCAAGCTCTAGAAACGGTTATCCTCATAATAAAAGTTTTCAAAAGGAACCAGAAATGGAGAATCGGCCGCCTTCCATTGTCAAATAATTAAAGAACTAGGTAAATTGGCCAAACAGAAGTGTTTTAGGGACTCATATGAAGTGTTTTAAACAAAAGCAAAAAATTTCAAGAGTCAAGGGTTCCAACATGCGACCCGTGTCTCCGAAGCAGTGCGCTTATCCACTACGCCATCGGCCGCCTGCCGCATGCAGTTATCGTTCCCAACTTTTGCAAAGATTAAATGTTCCGTACTCCCTTCAGAGAATCGTTCCGCAAAATCCGCAGATTTGGATTCAGCGGCTCAAGGCACGTTTATATCTGTACACCTCATTGCAAACGGCCGGATCGACCTGTTGGGGTTCCCTTGTTAGAGATTATCATACCAACTGCCTTCAAATAATGAAGATTTTTCTCCCTTTTAAATGCTTGAAGTTTGTTCGACTACTTCTGCGGTGTAGTTAAGGTGTACAATAGTTATGAGAGGCGTTTCGAATAAGTTGCACGAGAAAAACTCTTATCGAACTTCACTTCTTTGAATTCAGATTCCATCCATTCGTTTTCCTTGATTTCATCCTTCAGTCCTTCAAGAATTCCAGTAACTTTCTCTTCTATAAAAGCTTTAGACACCTGAAAGACACTCCTTGTGACAACTCTTTCATTGATTGTAATAACAGTGGGCATGATAGTGACTAGGCGCACGAGGTAACCATGTCTAGTAAGGGAGGAGCCCGCGTTCCTGAGCAAGCACTGAGCGACTCGCTTTAGTGAAGGGCGAGAAAAGAGAGGAGATGAAGCTAACCCTAAGGAAAGTAACGAAAAACAGTGAAAAGTGGCGAAAATTAACTAAACCGGGCCAAAACAGCTCCTACGTACGCGGTCGCTGCTGCAGCCGCCTTTGCGACTATTCGACGACCGCCAAACAAACTGCACGGATGACTACTGTACACACCATCAAATACCGGTCAGTCGACTAGTCGGGGTTAATTGAGAAAACAATCAAAGACCATAAAAAAAGTCTACCCCTTCGTCGAGCAGAACTAAATGCAGAAAAACCTCGCAAAGTGCTGCAAAGAGCTCCGGCTCTTGAGGGCAGCTTATCTTCAGAAAGCGAGAGAGAGGAGACCTTGGCGAAATGAAAAATCGTTGACTCACTTTTGGGTCGACCCAAATTTCCCTTTCAATGAAGTAAAAATTGACACAAGTCGATAAATAGTAAGAAGGCAATCACACTATCTCATGGTGCGGAAAATTATCTATCGCAGTGTCGAATATGTTGGGAACAATTGATATTTTCCATATAAAAATTTGTGTGACGAAAAACGCCATTGCGTATGGGCTAACCTAATACTTTGCTAAGC